GGCTTACATAAAATTCGATCATGGATTACAAAAAAAAACAAACAAAAAAAACAAAAAATTCAATCGTGGATTACAAAAAAAGAAAAAACAATTCGATCATGGATTACAAAAAATTCAATCATGGATTACAAAAAACTCTATCATGGGTTACAAAAAAAGCAAAAAACAAAAAATTCAATCATGGATTACAAAAAAAAAACAAACATTTCGATCATGGATTACAAAAAAAAACAAACATTTCGATCATGGATTACAAAAAAAAACAAACATTTCGATCATGTATTACAAAACATTCGATCATGGATTACAAAAAATTCGATCATGGGTTACAAAAGAAAAAATAAAAAATAAAAAATTTGATCATGGATTACAAGGAAAAAAACAAACATTTCGATCATGGATTACAAAAATTCGATCATGGATTACAAAAAATTCTATCATGGGTTACAAAAAACAAAAAATTCGATCATGGATTACAAAAAAACAAAAACAATTCTATCATGGATTACAAAAAAATCGATCAAGTATTACAAAAAAATCTATCATGGATTACAAAAAAAAAAACCCGATACACTGTTCGGACTCGCCGATTCCGTACGGTGAATCGGCGAGTCACTGTTCGGACTCGCCTATTCCGTACAGTGTATCAGCAAGTCACTGTACAGAATCATCCGGCTCTCTATAGAACCGGACGATTTTCGATTTTTTAACCGATACGATCCACTTTTTGCGATTTCCGAGTCGAGCCGGGCGAGTCCGGTTCGGCTCGACGTTTTTTAAAACACTGAAAAAACGTATAATTCTTCTAATTTAAACATAAAAATACATAGAGCACCAACTTCAATCGGAAAACATACGATTTCTTCAAATTAATTTAAAAAATGCATACATCACCAACTTCCAATGGGAAACACGAAATCAAGCACGTGGTAATTTCAATCCTCAACTTTTGTAAATTAACAAAACGATTTTCAGGACACTGATGAATGATCTTCTTGATTGCATTAAGAAAAAGTTTCTTTATTATATTACATATATATATATTATACAGGCTGCTGCCCAGGGCACCATCCATTAAATGATTGGAGGGTTAAAGAGGAAAAAGTAAAATGGATGGTGTCTCTTCTTTTTCTCCGTCTTTCTTTCTTTTGTTTTTACTTCTCTTCTCATCATTACTTTTCCCCTAATCTTCTCTTTAACCTCTCTCCCATGGAAAACTGGAGGAATGGTGAAGAATTGGGTTGCAGTTTGCTAGTGCTTTTACTCCATTAGAGAGATCTCTCTCATACATATTTTATCACTCTCTAGATCTCTAAAAAATGGAAAACCCCGTGCAAACCCAACCTTTCTTTCCCTAAGAATCTTTTTATTGTTTATGGACTCAGACTTCGCTGAGCAACTCGACCTCGGCCTGTGGATTATTAGTCTTTGACTGGTAGATCATTCGTTAAAGAAGGGGGGCATAGTGGATGAAGCCTGCAACGAGCAATGCCATGATATCAAACCCTAAATTTATTATTGAAATCATAATCACTGAAATTGAGAGCCGCCATTGCAGCCGTGCTCGTGGCCACTGCAGCATTGCTCAATTGTCATTCTCTCTCTTCCTCTCTCTCCTCTTCTCCTCCCTTCTCTCCTCTCTCTCTATACCTCCACTTTCTCTCTCTTTCTCTTTTCGTTTTCTCTCTCTCTCTCTATGCGTCTCTTTGCTGTTCTCTTCCTCTCAATTGCTCTCTATTCGCGGGCAGAGTATTCTGCGGGAGAGAATTGGCGGGGGCCTTTGAACAAAAATTACGGACACACCTATAAATTTGTGGAAAATAGCAAAATTTCTTATTCAACATTACAGTTTGATCTATATTTTTCCAACTTTATGCAAATACCACCTATTACCACTATTTTTTTTTACCAATTCTGCCCCCAACATTTTTAGAAGGAAAATTGTTTCATGCTGGCTGAACCACATCTACATATGCCGTCCAGAAAGTGTGAAGCATCCATCTTAAAGATGGATACAAGTAGGTATTCTATCTAAAAACAATGAAAAACTAACGGTCCAAATATTGTTTTACTAGAATTATTATTTTTAATTTTTTAAATTATTTATTTTGTCTATATTCGTGATCTCCATGTTAGAGATTTTATGTCTTTTAAAATTAAGTCAAAAATCCCATCTCAAAAATAGATTTATTAATAGGCCCGCATTTCTATATATGCGGGCTTGGCTGTATAGAAATCGGGTCCTTTTTAAAATATGACAGGTGGGAAACTCACTCCCTATCTGACATTTTTATTTTACTATTTTTTATTCTCTATAAAAAAATAAAGAGGTTGAGAAAGATGTCGCATATAATATTAGAGTGGGGTACGTAAGGGAGAAAGGAAAACTTTCTATATTCTCCCTACAACATAGAAGCTCTATGTTCTGCCTACCATCCAACCGTCCATTTTTTATCAAGAGAGTCATTCACCATTTGATCTGAGATCCGATGTCTCAAAGTATTTTATTTTTATTTTTTTTAATTCAATTTTTTTTAATATGAAATTTGGTACGTGTCATCTTCTTATTGGGGCACACCTATAAAAAAAATGACCAAAATACCCCTTGAACCTTTTAGGGGTATTTTGGTCAGTTTATTTTAATGAAAATATTTTTTTTATATTTTTCATTAGTGCGAATTTAATGTAGGAATGGACATCCAAAATTTGGTGTCAAAAAAGTTTATAAAAAAAAATTAAAAATAAAACAGTGTAAAGACGTGACATTATGATTGGGGCAATCTTAGCCATCCATTAAAAAATGGATGGTTGGATAAGGGGGGACATAGAACTTCTATGTTGTAGGGGGAACATAGAAAGCTTTCCCAAAGCAGATATGTGCAAACAAAGTTTTATGCGACCTTTGCACACCAACGAAACTAAAAAGCAATTCTATAGGACAATTGTGAGACCAGCTTTACCTTATAGAACATAATGTTGGCTGGTCAATAAAAACATGCACATAGAATGTGTATAGTTAAGATGAAGATGTTGAGATGGATGAGTAGCAACATAAAGAGAGATAGAATCCGAAATGAATACATTCGAAAGAATTTAGGTTGAATACCAATAGACGTTAAGATCCGAGAAAGTAGATGTAGGTGGGCTGGCTATGTGTGATGAAAACTCAATACAACACATGTTAGGAGGAGTGAGTTAGTTCAAATGGAAGGCTTAAAAAGAACAAGGAATAGGCATAAAATGACATAGTTGGAAGTTTTGAGAAAATATATAAGGACTTATGATCTCACTGAGGATATGAGTCATAATAGAATATAATGGCGGACCAAAGAATAGGCACAAAATGACATAGTTGGAAGTTTTGATAAAAGATATAAGGACTTATGACCTCACTGAAGACATGAGTCATAATAAAATAGAAAGGCAAACCGAGATTCATGTAGCCAACCTCAATTAGTTACTTTGAAGATGATGATGATTTTTTTATTCAAGTTTAAAAAATTTATTTTCTATTTAGTTTTTATTTTCTTTTTAACTTTTTTTTTAAAAGAATGATGACCAAAATATTCAAAATCCATAGAGAAATTATTTCAAAAATAAATTTAAGATAAATAAATAGATAATTTTAAATATTTTAACACTAAAAATAATAGAGAACTTTTAAATAGAGAATAGAATTTTTAAACTCAATAAAAAACAAAAAAAAAATGTGTAAATTTCCCATTTGTCCTATATTAAAAAAAAATTAAAATTAAAATTAAAAAAAAATGATGGGGGTCTTTGTGTCAATTTGAAAAATATAGATCAAACTGTAATATTGTGGGAAAAAAATATAATATGAACATAATTTGCCTAAATTTATAAAAGGAATGCTAACTCTTTGATCATTCTTTTGAGAAAATTATCCCATGTTTAAAAAAATCTCCCTCGAGTTTTGATTTTAAGCTACCCCTTTTACCTATTATATTTTCTCTTTTGAATGTCCCCCTATTTTGGATAATGAAGGTATAAAGTTGAGTGTGAGGTTTTATACACCTGCAAACCTTCAATTATAGGATAGAAGTTTGAGCCTGAATTATATTAATGAGAAAAACCTTTGGGATGAAATCCGAACTAGTTTCACAAAACTTCATACCTCCACAACTTTGGACCTTCAACCTGAAAATGACCCAAAACCTCAACATCACCTGGTCCCAAACCCAACTTCGGTAGGCTGAACGCAATTTAAGAAAGAATAAAATAAATAGAGTACGAAGGAATTTTTAAAATAAGGGATATCTGCATAAATTTCTCTTTTTTTTAAAAAAAATATCACTTAAAATTTCACACGGCCCTACAAATTATTTGGGTGTCCTACACGGACACCATGTTGCACCAACCAAGATTCTAGGAAATAAAAAATAAAAACCTAGGCCTACAAATGGCCTCAACATAATTTTAAGGTAAAGCTTTTTATGGGACTCTGCCCGCTTATAAAATATATGCTGATCTCCCACTTTTAAGTGGTTCGATCTGAATGGATGGCTGGAATCACTTATGTCAGTAACGACCCGTTAAAACACTATCTAATTTTGATCTCTTATCTATAAAATATTTTTGAGTGAAATTTGAGGTGTCCCATGTTTAATTTTAAACATCCCCGGAACTCATTTTGAATTCACATTCTTCTTGATGTATACAGACAAACAATGATGTAATGGGGTGTGATGCTCCAAAGGGGCATCCACCTCTCATCAGCACCGATAGACGGTAGGGATCAACTAAAATAGGAAGACTACATGTTCACTCGGTGCATCATATTAGTAGCCCTAAAATCTCGCAGTGAAAAAACATGACCGTTTTTTCTTGAATGGTAGACCCAATGGTTTAAAAAATGGATCGGTGACTCAGATCGAGCTTCCAAAAAATCGATCCGGATCGGCGAATCGGCGATCCGGATCGGGAAACGGGTGAATCGGTCAGAATAAAGCTTAAAAAAAATCCGAAAAAATTATTAAAATTCATTATAAATATTATTTTTTTGGAATTCAATAAGAAATGAGGGTACTCCATTAAGAATTTTCATGTTTTTGAATGAATATGCGAATATTGATATGTTCTTTCCCTGCATGAACCGCCATTCAACATTTAATTTACATCACACAAAAGGATAAACATATAATTATCATGGAATAGGTATATCAACATACATGGACTGCAATAAAGCATAAAATTAGTAACATATGATCTAAAAATAAAATGATAGACGACGTTATTGTTCTTCTTGGTCACGCTGGTGCCATTGATTGAATTCGTTTAACAATTCATTGATTCGATCTAAAAACGAATTATCGATATTAACAGGCGTCTGACTATTCCCAAATCCCTGAGTGTTAGTGTTTTGTTGTGTTCCCAATCTAAAATCCCCGAAGATTGTTCATCATTCATGCTCACCTA